GCTGTTCACGCAAGTTTTGGATGCTGGAGGCCCAGTTATCAGTGGGACATCTTCCTTTCTCCCCAAATGGCTAGATCGCAGGAGCCATGGAGCTGTCTGTCCAATAGATTTCTTTATTGTTAGACTTTTTCAATATTTCAGTAAATAACATACACGGTGAATCTCCAGGGGAAGTCTTTGCAATCTGTTTGACCAATAAACCCTTGACCCCCACTTAGAGCTTGCTATGGTCTCAGTGTTTGTATTTCCCAAAATTCAAATGTTGAAACCAAGTCTCCAATGCGAGTGTATATGGATGTGGGGTCTTCTGGGAAGTAATTACATGATGAGGACAAAGTCCCCACGAGTGGGATTAGTGCCCTTATAAGGAGGCACCAGAGACTTCCCTCCATGCTTCCAACATCTGAGGCTGCAGCAGAGATGGCCAGCTGTGAACCGGAAAGTGCGCCCTCGCCAGACACAGAATCTGCTGATTTATACGCTGCCCAGTCCATGGTATTTTGTTACATCAGGTCAAATGGACTAAAGCAGAGTTTACTGACCCACACTTCCTAAAGATTAGTCATTTTTTTTATAAGTGGAAACAGATTTCTTTCTTTTTAAAAAATTCTGTGAGAGGATATATACACTTGCCAGAGAGAGAGAAAGAAAAGGGAGTAAAGAACCACCCGCCCCCCGCCTGTGGGGAATGGTCATGCCACAATCCCTTTTTCATTTTGCTTTCCTTTTGGGATTTTGAGCATGAACACACATATGCCTAGTGTGTTTTTCAAGCCACTGGGTCCAGTACTTGAACTGTGCAGTCGGCCATGTGGGATCCATATACCTTAACCATAAAGGCATGGCCTGGCTCTAGAATTGTTTCTTCCTAAGATTTCAAAGATGTAAACATTCAGTCAGTGCTATTCAGATTTACTGTGCATATGAAACACCTACAGACCTTATTAAAATGTAGGTCCTGGTTCTCAAAAGAAGTCTGAGAGTCTGCAAGTCTGAGAGAGCTCCCAGGTAATACCAGTGCTCCTGGTCCACACACAATGCTTTGGTGGAAAAAAAAAAAAAGGATTTTTGTTGTTGTTGTTGTTGTTGTTGGAGATTTTTGCTATAGGGTGTGCGTGTTTGCCAGACAGAGAGACAGAGAGACAGAAAGCGAGAAAACAACCCAAGGAGGGATGGTCACATCGCAATCCCTTCTCTTCCCTTCTCCTCTTGGGATCTTGGGCATGCACGCAACACGCGCCTGGCATGAGTTTAAGTCACTGGGTCCGGGACTCGAACCGTGATCGACTACATGGGAGTCCAGCAACATAGCCATTACACTAACTGCTAGTCCCCCCCCAAAAAAAAAACAAGATTTTTGATGAAAGCCTTCTATATTGGCGCCAGTAGATGGAATAATGGTTATGTCGCTGGACTCGCACATGGCCAATTGTGGTTCCAAACTTTTGGTTCTTTTCAGTTTTGTCTACATAATAGAATCAACTGAAAATATTTTTTTGAAATACTGATCCCAGCCTCTCCCCCAACCCCTACCTAAGAATCTGAGAGGGAGGTTATTTTTTAAAAGCTGCCAGGGTGACTCTATTGTGCATCAGTATTGGGAAGGACTATTAGTTATTCTGCATAATATCTGCATAATATTTGCCAGGAAATAGCATATATGACAAGTAATAGCTAAAGGCATACATGTATAGTCAGCAACCATATCACTAAAATATTTAGGTGACAGCATCAATCAGTGGTTTAAACACTTAGTTTGAGGGACCAGCAGTTAGCGTAATGGCTATGTCACTGGACTCCCACGTAGTTGACCGCGGTTTGAGTCCCGGACCCGTGGCTTAAACTCACGCCGGGCGCGTGTGCATGTGTGCCCAAGATCCCGAGAGGAGAATGGAGGAGAAGGGATTGTGGCGTGGCCGTCCCACCTTGGGGGTGATTTCTCGCTTTCTGTCTCTCTGTCTCTCTCTGTCTGGCAAGCGCACACCCCCTAAAGCAAAAACCCCCCAAAAAAAAAAAAAAAAATACTCAGCTTGAGGCCAGTAGATGGCGTATTGGTAATGTCACTGGACTCACACATGGTTGTCCATGGTTTGAATCCCAGACCTGATGTCTTGAAAATCACACCAGGCATATGTGCATGCCTGCCCAAAATCTGGGAAGAGAATGGAGAATGGATTGCAACGTGGCCATCTCCCCTGGGGGGTGAGTTCTCACTTTCCCTCTTACTGTCTCTGTCTCTGTTAAGCATATGCACCCTAAGACAAAAATCTCAAAAGAAAAAAACATTAGCTTGACTTCTTGCTCAAAAATAAGAATAACAAAAAAAACCGATTTGGGCTCAAAAAGTCAGAAACACTACAGTCAGTGGAATTTTGAAAATAAACTCATGAGATCACAAATATAACTAGTGACTTAAAAGTCTCCGGACCAGACCAGGGACCAGCAAGTGGTGTGGAGGTTAAGGCGCTGGACATTATCACATGGTTGACCACGGTTAGAGTCCCAGACCTGGCAGCTTGCTTTCTCACTTTCCCTCACGCGCACTCTCTCTCACTCTGTCCCTTTCTAGCCAAACCAAAATAAATAAATAAAGTTAAATAATAAAATAATTATGTATAAAAAAAGAAAACACATTGTTTAAATTAATATTAAATACTATAAAAACTTCCATATGCCCAAAATTCTTTCTTCTTACCTGCCTGTTGGAAAACCAGAATTTCCGCTCATGGTATGCTGATAAGTAGAGAGCATACATCATACCACTAGTAACTGCTGCCAGACAGCCAACGAAAATCTTTGCGAAGCGCTGAAATAGCACATCTGAAAAAGCATATGAGAAGTAACCAAAAGGCATTTTGAAAACTGCATTTTAACTGAATGGTCAACTGCCCCAAAACCCATAACCCCAAACTGATCACAAGAAAAACATTAGACTCAATAAAGGAGCATCCTACAATATATCTACCAATACCCCTCAAAACTCTCAAGGTCATTAAAAAACAAGGAAACCCTGACAAACTGACAAAGTGAAAATAAATAAATAAATAAAGTCTAAAGAGCCATGACAATTCAATGTAATGTGGGATCCAGGATGGGATCCTGGAAAAGAAAAAGGGTATTAGTTAAAAACTAAAGAAATCTGGGACCAGCAGTTAGCGTAATGGCTATGTCACTGGACTCCCATGTAGTCGACTGCAGTTCGCGTCCCGGACCCGGTGGCTTAAAACTCACGCCGGGCGCATGTGCGCACGTGTCCAAGATCCCAAGAGGAGAATGGAGGAGAAGGGATTGCAGCATGGCCATCCCCGCCGGGGAGTGATTTCTCGCTTTCTTTCTCTTTGTCTCTGTCTGTCTGGCGAGCGCACGCGCCCTATAACAAAAAAACCTCTCAAAAAAACTAAGGAAATCTTGGGGAGCAGCAGGTGGGGTGGTGGTTAGGGTGCTGGACACTCCCACATGGCCAACCATGGTTCAAATCCCAGACCTGGTGGCTTGCTTTCTCACTTTCCCTCTCTCTGTCTCTGGTCAAATTAAAATAAATGAATGACTAAATAAAATAATTCTTTAAAAAAAAACAACAACAACTAAGGAAATCTGAATAAAGTATGGACTTTAGGTAAAAATCCAGTGTATCAATACTGGTTCATTAATTGTAACAAATAGACCATACTGAGCTAAATGTTAACCATAAGGGAAATTGTGCGTCAAATGGTGTAATATGAGAATTCTGTACTATCTGCTCAAGTTTTCTATTAATCTAAAATGATTTTAAGGGGACCAGCAGTTGGCATAATGGCTATGTCACTGGACTCCCATGTAGTTGACCATAGTTCAAGTCCTGGATCCCAATGGCTTAAACTCAAACTAGGCATGTGTGCATGTGTACCCAAGATCCTAAGAGGACAATGGAGGAGATGGGATTTTGGCATAGTCATCTCCCCTGGGCAGTGATTTTTTGCTTTCTGTCTGTCTTTCTGGCAAGCGTGCACACCCTATAGCAAAAACCTCTCCCAAAAAATATAAAATAGAATGGTTTTAAAACTTAAAAGTCTGGGGCCGGCAGTTGGCGTGATGGCTATGTTACTAGACTCCCACGTAGTCGACCACGGTTTGAGTCCTGAACCCGGTAGTTTAAACACACGCTGGGCATGTGTGCGTGTCCACTCAAGATCCCGAGAGGAGAATGGAGGAGAAGGAATTGCAGCGTGGCCATCCCCGGGGTGGGGGACAGGTGATTTTTTGCTTTCTGTCTCTCTGGTGAGCACACGTACCTTATAGCAAAAAGCTCTCAAAAAAAAAAGTCTAGGGGACCAGCAGTTAGCATAATGGCTATGTCGCTGGACTCCCACGTAGTCGACCGCGGTTCGCTTCCCGGACCCGGTGGGTTAAAACTCATGCCGGATGGGTGTGCGTGCGTGCCCAAGATCCCGAGAGGTGAATGGAGGAGAAGGGACTGCGGCGTGACCATCCCCCCTGGGGGATGATTTCTCGCTTTCTGTCTCTCTGTCTCTCTCTGTCTGTCTGGCGAGCACACGCACCCTATAGCGAAAAACCTCTCCTAAATAAATAAATAAATAAATAAATAAATAAATAAATCACTACTCTAGAGACTAGCAGATGGTATAATGGTTACACGGCTGGACTCCCATGTAGTCGACCGCAGTTCGACTCAAAACTCACATCGGGTATGTGTGTGTGTATGCCCAGAATCTGAGAGGAGAAAAGAGGAAAAGGGATTGCACCATGGCCATGCCCTGGTGGGTGATTTCTTGCTTTCTGACTGTCTCTGACTCTCTGGAAAGTGCACATACCCTAGAGCAAAAATCTCTCTCTAAAAAAATAATAACCACTCTATTAGCTGCTGTAACAAAGTCCCCCAAAATATCAGAGGTTTACAAAAGGAAGGTTATTTCTCATTCATGTTACTTATGGATTGAGGGTCAGCGGTCACTCTGTTCTAGGATTCAGGTTAGCTCTGGCTTTTCTCCTTGTACCTTTTGAGTTCCAGGACAGAGGCAGTCCCAATTTGGGACATGCTGTTCTCAAAACAGAAAAAAATAAAATAAAAAAAAAACACAAGAAAGCACACAGAGGTTCTGCTGAGAACTTGTACACTGCTATTTCTACTCACATTCCTTTGGCCCTGGCAAGTTATGTCACAATCCTGACAGTGTGGTAGAGAAGGAAACTCTGCCTGAGAGAGGCAGTCAAATCACACAGCAATGGAAAGGCATGTACAATTCACTTCTGGAGAAGGGAGAAAACCAGCTATCTATCCCTAGTCACAAATATTCTCTTCTCTCTCAAAGTAAAACATACTTATTCCTTTTTAGGAAAGAATCTAAGAACAGGTTACTCAGCCTGTTTCCTACCTAATGATGGGGTTCATCTGGTACTTTAAGATCTAAAGAGTGGGCCAGCAAGTGGCATGGTCGGTAAAGGTGCTAGACTTCCAAATAGCCAAGCATGATTCAAGTCCCAGACCTGGCAACATGAAAATCATCCCAGGTGTGTGTGCATGTGTGTCCAAAATCCCAAGAGGAGAAGAGAGAAAGGACTGCAGCATGGCCATCCCCCTTGGGGGATGATTTCTCACTTTCTCTCTCACTATCTCTGCCTCTCTCCAGTAAGCACACATACCCTATGGCAAAATAAAACAAACAAAACAAAACAAAAAAAACCAACAAATGAGTTAGAGTCCTTGTCACCTAGGCTGCAAGTTCTTTTACCAGAATGCTCTCTCAGAGCTTAACCAGGGGGCCAAATGGTGGCACAGCAGTAAAATGTGACACTCCGTGAGGCTCACATGGGAGGACCCTGGGTCTGTGTTCGGCGCCTTCCCTGGATGCACGGGGCATGTATGGGTCTATGATCCAGGACTGGTTGAGGCTAGGAGTGGACCAAGGCATCAAGATCCTATTAGGGTGCTAGCTCTCTTTTTCACTAATGCAAAAAATAAATAAAAGAGACCCCCCCGAGAAAATCACAAACAAACAAAAACACTAGCAATTCTTCTCCTAGCCATTTACCTAAAAGAAATGAAAACGTCTACAAAGATGGTAGTCATATTTATAACTAAATATTAAATAAACAACCCAAATGTCTCACCATAGGAGAAAGAATAAACACTATAGTGTAGTCAAACCATGGCCTATAAATAAGCAATAAAAAGGAAGGAACTACAGATATCCACAACATTGATGAATCTCAAATGATTATATTTTTTTAAAGAATATTATTATTATTTTTTTTTTTGGAGAAGTTTTTTTTGCTATAGGGCGCATGTACTCATCAGAGAGACAGAGAGACAGAAAGCAAGAAATCACCCCCCCAGGGAGGATGGTCACGCCGCAATCCCTTCTCCTCCATTCTCCTCTCGGGATCTTGGGCACGCACGCCCGGGGTGTTTAAGCCACTGGGTCCGGGACTCGACCGGCAGTTGATTACATGGGAGTCCGGCGATACAGCCATTACGCCAACTGCTGGTCCCGAGAATTATTAATTTTATTTATCTTTGTTTTTATCACTTTTTAATTTTTTTCTGATTTTTTAAAAATTTATTTTATTTCTGAATTTGGTACAGGGCACTGCAAATTCACCAGACAGAGAGACAGAAAGAGAAATAAAGTGAGAAAGTAAGCCACCAGCTCCAGAACTTGAACTGTAGTTGGCCACGTGAGAGTCCAGCACCTTAACCACCACACCACCTGCTGGTCCATCAAATGATGATATTTTTAAAGGATAACACACTGAGCTGAATGAAAGAATACACACACCACAGAATGTTGTATGATTCCATTTACACCAAAGTTCTTGAAAATGTAACATTAATCATTCGTTAGTTTTTTAATTTTTTATTTATCCATTAATTTATTTGTATATCTATTTAATTTGACTAGAGAGGGATAGAGTGAGTGAGAGAGAGAGAAAGAGTGAGAAAGCAAGCCACCAGGTCTGGGACTCAAACTGTGGTCGGCCATGTGGGAGTCCAGTGCCCCAACCACCATGCTGGCCCCAATCATTCGTCAGGGTTTTTTTTCAATATTTTTAAAAACAATTACTTAATTTTATTTATTTATTTATATTTCTTAATTTGACCAGAGAGGGACAGAGTGAGAGAGAGAGAGAAAGTGAGAAAGCAAGCCGCCAGGTTCAGGACTTGAACCACAGTCAGTCATGTGGGAGTCCAGTGCCCCTAACCACCATGCCACTTGTCAGCCTCTCATTTGTCAGTTTTAAATATCAGAACAGTGGTTGTCTTCTGTGCAGGGGTAAAACAAAATCAACTGGAAAAGGGTACAAGGACACTTTCTGGGATAATGAAAACATTCTGTAGTTTGTTTAAGCTATATTTAAATGTCGAAATTCATTTTATTAAACATCTAAGATTCTGCAAATTAACTGTACGTTAAAAAACTTAAATCACTCATTTCTACATTAAAAAAGCAAAATTTTGTCAGATTTTACCCACTTAAAGTCAGTCAGCTCCATGTTCCAACAACTATTCCCACAATTTTTTTCTAGATATGCTTCTCTAGTAGGCTTCCTTATGCACAGTGCCAGCTTATCAAACGTTTGTAGACAACTCCCCATAGTTTTTTCCCCCTAAATGCTGTGTTTAGTAAGAGTTACCTTAATTCATTCTTCAATTTTAGCAAATTGCATAGCAACCAAGGCATTTGTTTGATCAATGCCCTGAAGACTCATCTTAATCAGACTTTTTATTCAAGTATTTCTTGATTTTTATCTTTTATTGGTTGAAAAAGATACAGAGCTCTAACTTCAACAGTACAATTCTCAGAAATCTCAGATTCTCTACTTTCCTTTTCACTTTTGCTTGCCAACAGTCCAATTCTGTTCTAAACTCATCTCTCCTGTAGCCAAATGCAGCTGATAAAAACCAAGGCACTCTAGTAACATCCTGTTTTGTAAACTGGTTACCTAAAACAAAGTATTAAAATTGCAACTAGTCTCGAGCCAGCAGGTGGCATGGTGGTTAAAGGTGCTGGATTCCAACATGGCAGACTGCAGTTCAGGTCTGGGACCTGGTGACTTGACATTTCTTGCTTTCCCTTTCTGTTTCTCTCTGTTCAAAGATTTAAAAAAGAAAAAAAGTAATAATAACAAATAGAATTAAATAAACTAGACACAAGGAACAATATTACCAAATGTTTTCCCTCTGAACAATATGTGTATTCATTTTTCTAGCTTCCAATAGTATTCTCAATGCCAGCCCCTGAACTAGATCTGTAGATGATCCACTGTCACAAGAAAAGCAAGTACCAAATAGCAGGTGTCCTTCAGGACACACGAAGCTACACCAGCCAACCTATGGCCATGCATGTAAGAGTAACTAGAAATAAGTATTTGTCCTAAGACAGGGAGATTTAGGGGTTGTTCTATAACAAAACTTAATGAAAGCTGACCACATACTTAACCTCAAAATATGTTCATACATTTAAAATATTAACATATATTTTCTAACGTAAGTATTTTTATAGTAGCACAAAAACTCCAAATCTGACTTACATTTTGTTGGTCTCTCAGGAATTACAGTGTCAGTGATTTTCTCTTCTTTGGCAGATTCCTTATTTCCTGAAGGCTTTGGCTTTTTTCTTTGGCGCAGTTCTACAGTTGGTCCTTAAAACAGTTGAGATATTATTGTAATGATATATCAAATTGTTCTAACCTGCATTTTGAGCAGATTAACCTTTAGAAATTGAAGCAAAAGTCACACAGACCAATAAGCAGCACAGACAGCTTTTCTCGAAATTATTTTAGCACCCCCAACAAAACTATATTTTGGAGTTTAAAAAAAAAAAGACATATAAGCTCTATCACCCATTTGTGTTTGGTTTTTTGGAAAGGTTTTTGCTATAGGGTGCATGCGACAGAGAGAGACAGAGAGATAGAAGTCACGCCGCAATCCCTTCTCCTCCATTCTCCTCACAGGATCTTGGGCACGCACGCACATGTGCCTGGCGTGAGTTTAAGCCACTGGGTTCGGTACTTGAACAGCGGTCGACGACATGGGAGTTCAGTGACATAGCCATTATGCTAAATGCTGGTCCCACCCATTTGTTTTCAAAGTCCTTTTTGTTTGTGCTAAAGGGCCTGTGCGTTCACCAGAGAAGAGAGACAGAGAGAAAGAGAAAGAGAGAAATCATCCCCCTGGGAGGATGACCATACAGTAATCCCTTGTCCTCATTCTCCTCTCGAGATTCTGGGCATGCACACACATGCACCCATGATTTTCAGGCTGCTGAATCTGAGGCTGGAATAGCACAGCCAGCTTGTGAGATCCAGCCACCTTAACTCCACGTCACCTGCTGGCTCTGAAAGTCCTATTGATAAATCATCAACCTCTTCCCCTGAGAGATGCTACTTTCAAAATAGCCCAAAATATGTAAACTCTTTTCCAGAATGATTAATTGGAAGACAAAATATTATATACCTTATTATTCTAGTCACCTAAGAATATGAAACGCATCCTTTATGAATTAAGAATTTTTATAACTCAAAATATATAACACATTGGGACCAGCAGATGGCGAAATGGTTACATCGCTGGACTCCCATGTAGTCAACTGATGTTCAAATCCCAGACTCAGTGTCTTAAAACGCTGGGTGCATGTGTGTGTGTGCCTAAGATCCCGAGAGGAGAATGGAGAAGGATTACAGAGTGGCTATCCCCCCTGGAAGGTTACTTCTCACTTTCTGTCTCTCTGTCTCTGTCTGGTGAGCGCATGAGCCTATAGTAAAAATCTCTCTTAAAAAAAAAAAATGTATATATATATACACACACATACACACACACATATATATAATACATTGACCATAAAACTATACTTCTTTTTAAAAATTATTTTATTTACCTTTATTTATTGTTATTTTCCAATTTTACCAGAGAGAGACAGAGAGAGAGGGAGGGGAAGAGAGAAAGCAAGCCACCAGTTTCAAGACTTCAACCACAGTTGGCCAAATGGGAGACCAGCGCCTTTAACCACCACGTCACCTGTAAGCCTAAGAACTATGTGTCATTTTTAGAAAAATCCTGAAAGTTCTGTAGAGTTTCAGTCTTATAATATCACTAGCATTTTACAATCTTTTTTCTTTTTTTTGGAGAGGTATTTTTTGCTATAGGACGCATGCGCTCGCCGGACAGAGACAGACAGAGACAGAAAGTGAGAAATCACTCCCCTAGGGAGTGCAATCCCTTCTCCTCCGTTCTCCTCTCGGGATCTTGGGCATGCACGCACATGTGCCCGGCATGAGTCGGCGCGAACCGCGGTCGACTACAGGGGAGTCCAGCGACATAGCCATTACGACAACTGCTGGTCCCACATTGTACAATCTTATGCTAGATCTAAGGGTTAGAAAATAGGCTGAACCTATAAAGATCCCAATTAACACATATGATAAACTCTCTGAAAAATTTCCCAATATTAGAATACCTTTTCTTTCTACCTCCAGTTAAAAAATGTAATGCAGGGGGCCAGGCACATGGCATGGTGGTTAAGAGAGCTGGATTCCCACATGGCCAACCACCACGGTTCAAGTCCTGGACCTGGTGGCATGCTTTCTCACTATCACTCTCCCTCTCTCTGGTAAAATGGAATACTACTACTAATACTAAATAAAAATAAATTAGTATTGGGGACCAGCAGGAGGCATGGTGGTTAAGGCGCTGGGTGCTCCCACATGGCTGACCACAGTTCAAGTCCTGGACCTGGTGGCTTGCTCTCTCACCTTCTCTTTCTCTTTCTGTGTATCTCTCTAGTCAAATTAAAAATGAATGAATGAATGAATAAAATTAAATAAATAATTTAAAACAAATAATAAAAAATAAATAAATTAGTATACATTTTTAAAATGTAATGCAGAAATTACTTCCAAACCAGTATACTAAATTCAGAATTAAAAATTTACTATATAGAATTTAATTACTTTTCCTCCCTAGAATTAATTATCTTATGGGGTAAATGACTATAGTTTTAGTAGAGAGTCCTTGTCAATTTATGGTGGTACAACAATTTATCTCTTCCTCATAGTAGTGAATGAGTGTTCTTTTCTCTTAGTAATGACTTTAGGCAATGAAATTTGAGTCTAAAAAAAGGTGTCAAAAAATAAATGAGAGTTGGGAACCAGCAGTTAGCACAATGGCTATGTCACTGGACTCCCACATAGTCAACCGCGGTTCGCGTCCAGGACCCGGTGGCTTAAAACTCATGCCAGGCGCGTGTGCATGCGTGCCCAAGATCCCAAGAGGAGAATGGAGGAGAAGGGATTGCAGCGTGACCATCCCCCCTGGGAGGTGATTTCTCGCTTTCTGTCTCTATGTCTCTGTCTATCTGGCGAGCACACGCGCCCTATAGCAAAAACCTCTCCAAAAAAAAAAAGAAATGAGAATCAAGTACTGGCATGGAGGCTAAGGCACTGGATCCTACATGGCCAGCTGCATGGTTTGTGAGTCCTATACCCAGTGGCTTGAAAATCACACCAGGCACATGGACATGCGAGCCCAAAACCCCAAGAGAAGACTGGAGGGGAAGGGACTGCAATGTGGCTATCTCCCAGGGGAGTGATTTCTCTTTCCCCCTCTCTCTGTGTCTGTCTGTCTGGCAAGCACATATGCCCTAGAGCAATAACATTTAAAAAAAAAAAAAAAGAGAGAGAGAATGAGTCAATAAGTCATTCGCTATTGATGTTAATCAGATAAATGGGTTTTCTAGCTTTACTGGAAATGAATAATATAAATAAATCTATTTTAAAATAGTTTCACAGCAAATTTATATATTGGCTAAAATATCTTTAAACACTGGCATGGTGAGAAAAAAACTGCATTTAGTGGATTTGACATGATTAGTCTAAGTTTTACTCATTTCTTTCTTTTTTTTTTTTTTTGAGAGATTTTTTGCTATACAGTGCATGTGCTTGTGGGAGAGACAGAAAGTGAGAAATCACTTTCTGAGGGCGTGGCCACAGAAAAATCCCTCCTCCTCCATTCTCCCTTTGGGATCTTGGGCACATGCGCGCACACACACACCCAGTAGGCGTTTCAAGCTGCCAGGTCCAGGACTTGAACTGCATTTGACCATGTGTGGGAGTCCAGTGTCTTAACTACTACGCCACTCACTTTTTTTTAAGGTTTTTTTCCATCAGTCAAGTGCACTTGTCAAAGAAAGAAAGATAGTGAGACACAAAGTGAGAAATTACCCCCTAGGGAGAATAGCCACACCACCATCCCTTCTCTTACAATGTCTTCCCTCCTAGGATTTTGGACACATAGGCATGACATTGGCGTGTTTTTCAAGCTATACGGACTAGGCCTTGTGCAGTAGGGCTTATGGGATCCAGCCACCTTAACCATCATACCACGGGCTGGCCCCAGACACACATGTAAATTTTACAAAATGGTACTGTCTGTTAATGGGTTCCACATCATGTCTCTTCAAGTGTAATTGTAACCTAAAATAATTTCTCATTTTGAATGATATGTATTAAAGATTTTCATTATTGTGGTATTAACTTTTTTTTGTTTCTTAGTTTTCGATATGGTGTGTGCACTCTC